AGGAGGATAAAATGAAAGCCAATCATTCCTAGGCCTTCTATAGCACATATAATAGGCCTAAGATAACCATTATTAAGCATAGGTTATTTTGGTCAAGTTAAATTAGGCTCTTTATTTATTCCATTTCTTTGCGCTATTTGGGCTAATTTCAATTATACATACAAGAATTTTTGTAGGGGTCCAATAGCACATTTTTTGTACGTTTGATCGAATAGTTGTTATAAGTACTATTATCGTTGGATAATGAGTGGGAATTCTCACTCTTAATTGGGTGATGTGATTCCTTGAGCAAATATTTGTCTGTTCTACATCCTGTCTCTTATTTGCTCTTTCGTAATTCACTTAATTAAACGTTTTGTGAATTTCTCCCAATTTCTGCTTCCGTTCTTATCTTGCTTTAACACAGTTTTCTTTTAATTTTATCTCTGTTCTTTCTTCATTTCAGTAAAATCCCTTTTTTTTGTCTTTATTTGATTACGATATCTATTTTTTATCCTTGTACTTCTGTCATGTACTTATGTATTTTCATTCCAGATCTTCTAGCATTCCCAATATTGTTTAATGCCTTCATTGTTTTATTTACACTAATTTTCTATCATTTTTTTACATTCCACTTTTCGTCGTTATATTTTATTGAAACAACTGCGTAATTATGTAAATGTAATTACCTAATCGGAATTCCTTAATTGTTGTATACTCATCAATATATAAAATTATTAAGCATCTCACTACCCTCTCCTGCAGACGTCTGCTCCACTTGTCTGCCACTGTGTATTCACCTAGTTGTATTTTGCGGGGGTTGAGCTTTGCTCTTTCGGCCCGCCTCTCAACTGTCAATCAACTGTTTACTAACTACTTTTTTTTCCACACCACACCACACACACACCAGGAAGCAGCCCGTTACAGCTGACTAACTCCCAGGTACCTATTTACTGCAAGGTAACTGGGGCATTCAGAGTGAAAGAAACTTTGCCCATTTATTTCTGCCTCGTGCGGGAATCGAACCCGCGCCACAGAATTACGAGTCCTGCGCGCTATCCACCAGGCTACGAGGCCCCCCCCTACACACACACACACACACACACACACACACACACACACACACACACACACACACACACACACACAACCAGGGCGCCGGTGGCTGAGCGGACAGCACGCTGTACGCGTGATTCTGTGGTCTCGCGTTCGATTCCGGACGCCGGCGAGAAACAATGGACAGAGTTTCTTTCACCCTAATGCACCTAGCAGTAAATAGGTACCTGGGAGTCAGCTGTCACGGGCTGCTTCCTGGTGTGTGTGTGTGTGTGTGTGTGTGTGTGTGTGTGTGTGTGTGTGTGTGTGTGTGTGTGTGTGTGTAGGGATAGAGTGGTACTGACGAGAGACAGTGAACTATGCCGGCCGAGATCAATCAAATAGTGACAGAGAGACGACACTGCCTGTGAAGGACAGACTTGATCGAACACATTCTGAAGGATATTCCCGAACACATTACAGTCAAGTGTAAACATCCGGAGAGATACCACGAACCACGCTGCTGCTGCTGTTAAGAGAGAGAGAGAGAGAGAGAGAGAGAGAGAGAGAGAGAGAGAGAGAGAGAGAGAGAGAGAGAGAGAGAGAGAGAGAGAGAGGGGGGGGGGGGTTACACAGATACCGATAATTTTACATGGTTTTTGTTTCTACATGGTACAGCCACTTGAACTAGCATTACAGCAGCGACCATATACCTTTCAGGGTCGTCGTTCGATCCTCAATGGTCCCAGTGGATGGGTCAGGTTCCTTCACCCCCGTCCTCATAATCCAGCTGCTGGTCCTCATATCCTCATAATTACCTAACCCTACACGGCACAGCAGCAGGAATTCTCTTTGCGTTACCGAGATATAGAAATTGTTGGTAAAAGGGTTTTATGTGAGTTAGACATCAAACTGTCTTTAAGACAGTCAAGGAAAATATTGTAGGTGCTAAACAGACAGAAAGGAGATGAACTAAGGTTCAGACAAAGACTCACATACTATTACTACACGATGAAACATCTCAGATATATTGATAATACTTAGAAGGTGTTGAGACCCCTCCTCAGTATTACGGGCTCACCATAGCCCGTGCTACTTGGAACTTTTTGTTCCAGGTAGCGAATCTTTAACAACAACAACAACCTCCTCAGTTAGACTGGTCATTGAAGAAAGAACATGACTGGACTCAAAGAAGAGTTCCGTAGACGCTGTATAACCCAGAGAAGAGACTAAGAATTTAACAAAGAATTAAAAGCAGTCTGGCACAAGTTACATTACAGGCTAAATAACGTGGCTAAAGTAAGTTAACCAGACCACACACTAAAAGTGAAGGGACGACGACGTTTCGGTCCGTTCTGGACCATTCTCAAGTCGAAACGTCGTCGTCCTTTCACCTTCTAGTGTGTGGCCTGGTCAACAAGTTAAATTACTTTTTGTTTTAGAAAGTACCAAGGAGATCTTGGGGGAAAAAAGGCCAGTGAAACTATCTCTCATGGACCTTTTTTTTTTTTACTAGACGTGCAACTTTTTCAAGATTTGGTGTTGATCTGCAACATTTGCGGGTAACTGATAATGCTTATCGTTCCAAATGTCATGACACTGAGTTCTCTTCCGGGAAGAAAAACAATAAAATAGAACTATTTTATTTAAGGAAGGGAACTATCAAGGGGAAGCGCCAAGCCATTACGACTATATAGCACTTGGAAGGGATCATGATAAGGATTAGGGACGGGACGGGGGAAAGGAATGGTGCCCAACTACTTGGATAGTCAGGGCTTGAACGCTGACCTGCATGAAGCGAGACCGTCGCTCTACCGTCCAGCCCAAGTAGTTGGGCTGGACGGTAGGCGCGCTATAACAAAGCGAGTTTTATATCGGCCGTAGATTCTGACTCCATCTCCTGTAGCTCACATTCAGCACCGCTCCTGTGCCAGGTAAGTCCACTACGGGCTCACCATAGCCCGTGCTACTTGCCCCGCTCCTGTGCCAGGTAAGTCCACTACGGGCTCACCATAGCCCGTGCTACTTGCCCCGCTCCTGTGCCAGGTAAGTCCACTACGGGCTCACCATAGCCCGTGCTACTTGGAACTTGTTCCGAGTAGCTGAATCTATAACAACAACATATCGGCCGTAAACTCCACTCTGGCATCTGGTGTTGGTCGTTGTCCTTAAGTTGTGTGGTCATTGTCCTCACGTTGTTGGTCATCGTTGGCTCCTTGGCTCGTCCAGTGAAGGTCAAGACCGGGGCTCGAGCGGGTAGGGACCGGAACCTTGATTTCCCGGATAAGGCCAATCAATATTACCCAGGTCCTGAGTCCGTTCTCGGTGCAATCAACTGACCTCTCACCGTAGTGTTGCTCTTTACTTCATTAGAAACACTTATCGCGTTGTGTGTTTCCCTTGAAGCTTGAACATATGGTGTTGTGCAACTTGTGCAACACAATTTGGCGAATCCTTCTAGCAACAACCAATCCTCTCAACTAATACGTCTTATTTTGTCCGTTATGGCTCTCTCTCCCAAAGTACAAATTACTATTATGAAGACTATCAGCTAAAAATTTCAACACTTCCTGTGTAACGATAGGTTAGGGGGGAGATGGGGAAGGGGGGGTCGTTCGTTTCTACTTAATTAGCAATTTGTATTTTGATTTTTGTGGCAAATCAAGATAACGGGTTGATTTACTTGCACCTGCAGTGCCTCAGTGGCTCTGGGATGTCATTGGCTTCTTGGACGGAAAAAGAGGGTACTATGAAAGTAGCGGCTCGCAAACAACCACGTTATCTATGTTCTGGTTAACCTTGTAGTGTTGTAGGGGAACTTTGTAGTCTTGGAGGGAAACTTGCAGTGTTGTAGGGGAACTTTGTAGTCTTGGAGGGAAACTTGCAGTGTTGTAGGGGAACTTTGTAGTGTTGTAGGGAAATTAGCAGTGTTGTAGGGGAAGCTTGTAGTGTTGTAGGGAAATTAGCAGTGTTGTAGGGGAAACTTGTAGTGTTGTAGGGAAATTAGCAGTGTTGTAGGGGAAACTTGTAGTGTTGGAGGGAAACTTGCAGTGTTGTAGGGGAAACTTGTAGTGTTGGAGGGAAACTTGCAGTGTTGTAGGGGAAACTTGCAGTGTTATAGGGGAAACTTGTAGTGTTGGAGGGAAACTTGCAGTGTTGTAGGGGAAACTTGCAGTGTTGTAGGGGAAACTTGTAGTGTTGTAGGGGAATTAGCAGTGTTGTAGGGGAAACTTGTAGTGTTGTAGGGGAATTAGCAGTGTTGCAGGGAAACTTGTAGTGTTGTAGAAAAAACTAGCAGTATTGTAGGGAAACTAGCAATGTTGTAGGGTAACTAGTATTGCAGGCCAAGCTAATAATGTTCTAGGGTAAGCTAGTAGGGTTGTAGGGAAAGCTACTAAAGTTGTAAGGTAAACTTACTAAGGTTGTACGGTAAACTAGTAGTGTAATGTAGGCTGAACTAGATGAGCTATGAATAGGGCGAGCTCTACGCCTAAGTTTAAAAGCCAACCACTGAGAATACACTTAAAGGTTAGATTTTTATTAAACTCCAACAGGTGAATTGATGTCCTTAATAATGTCTGTTTTATCCCTTGGTGTTTCTCGTATGAAATGATCACCAAAATATCATATTGACCAACAATATGTATACTTTTAGCCCTAAATATTATCCAGTACCAAATAAAAAACTCTAATGCAGGCTTTGATCACATGTATTAAAGAGTTTATGAGAATTCGAACTTCCCAATCCTCGTAATACTTCGGAATTCCCAAACTACTAAACATATGCAAAGCCAGGAATATATTTACAGGAAAGATGTAGATGTTTCGTAAATGGTTGTGTAAATTTGTCGATAAATCCTGGTCTGTTGTCATTTTTTCAGGCATAGGAACATATAAATGGCAACTGTGCTGTTAGAGTTGCCAGTTACCCCTATGTGTCCAGGATGAGATTAAGTTAAAACAGTTGGACTGACCGGAAACGTACGCATTATATTATCATTAGTGACGCTTAACCTGCCGTCTGAGCAGGACTGGTTGGGCTGTAGAACGTCTCAAAAACTAATACGTCACGACGTCGACGGTTTCTACAGTGTAAGAGATTTGGTACGAATTTGGTAAAGTCGTTTTATACATTAATTTGTTTGGCATTTTTTTATTCGGGCTTTATTTATTCATTTGAGTGTTATGTTAAATGCGCGTGTTATTGCGTGTTAAAATATATATATATTGTTTGTGTAAATGTTTAATTGTATTTTTGTCCATTTGGAATTTTGTGGAAAAAGTTTGGATATGTTTGGCATGTGTTTCGTGTGTATGTATGTGTATGTGTGTGTGCGTATGCGTGTGTGTGTGTGTGTGTGTGTGTGAGCGAGGGAATCATCCATAATAATGCATATCAAATCATTGTAATGTCTTACTAGTCTGTGTAGATGCTTTGTCCTGTTCTGTTAATCTGAACTTCGTAACAACGTTTTCTAAGTTGCAAAAGTAGATCAGACACGTTCATGAAAACCGGAAACACATATTTAATTATAAATACTCAATGAAGAAAATACGTAAGTGTTCAGGGAGAATTTGCAAGGTCTTCTCTGAATACCTTTTATTCTCTTCTCCAAGGTTATGGGTTCCTACTATTCAGGAAAGGTTATGCCCATAACCATCCAAGGTTATGGGTTCTTCTCCAAGGTTATGGGCTATATATATATATATATATATATATATATATATATATATATATATATATATATATATATATATATATATGTGTATATCACGAAAATAAACACGTGATTAAGAATGTGACAATGTCAGACCACGGAGGAAAAATGAAACAGGAAATTTCCTTAAGTACTTTCGTATATTAAATACATCTTCAGAAGGTCATTTTACAGATCGAGTGATGGGTATAAATAGGCAGGAGAGAGTGGTGAAGTAAGGTGAGGTACAATACTTGGACAACGCAGAAGGCCCATTGGCCCATCAGATGCACCCAATTAGCCCATCCGATGTAGCCCAATGGCCCATCTGATACAGCAGACATACAAGCATAATACATAGGTAATTATAACATAAAGAGGTAAATATATACAATAAATTAGTGAGACAAATGTTTTTCAATGATTCTACTTAAATCGCCCTTTAGCTGATCTATTAGAAATGGATCTAAGTTATATAGACCACTGCTAATATTCAAATTACTTTCTTTGGTGATCTGTATCAAAGCGGATTCAATTATGTTTCTGTTATAGGTGCTTTTACAAATGAAGACAAATTGTAAAAGCACCTATAACAGAAACATAATTGAATCCGCTTTGATACAGATCACCAAAGAAAGTAATTTGAATATTAGCAGTGGTCTATATAACTTAGATCCATTTCTAATAGATCAGCTAAAGGGCGATTTAAGTAGAATCATTGAAAAACATTTGTCTCACTAATTTATTGTATATATTTACCTCTTTATGTTATAATTACCTATGTATTATGCTTGTATGTCTGCTGTATCAGATGGGCCATTGGGCTACATCGGATGGGCTAATTGGGTGCATCTGATGGGCCAATGGGCCTTCTGCGTTGTCCAAGTATTGTACCTCACCTTACTTCACCACTCTCTCCTGCCTATTTATACCCATCACTCGATCTGTAAAATGACCTTCTGAAGATGTATTTAATATACGAAAGTACTTAAGGAAATTTCCTGTTTCACTTTTCCTCCGTGGTCTGACATTGTCATATATATATATATATATATATATATATATATATATATTATTCAAAGGGCAAACCTGTACATGCGAATGAACAAATCATTATGTATTTTATACACAAGTTAGAGCGAATACTTTTATTTAACCCAGATTCAAATCACTAATTCACACACAACGATGTGCACACAGACACATGTACAGGAGAACATACTTTCGTACATAAATACACGTATGTATTACACGGTCTAATACTTAAAAAAACCCATTAGTCAAGTGACGCAAAAATCATTTTTATTTTGTGAATTTTTCCCATTTGCCTCCGATGCCACAATGACTTAATGAATTCATTGTCCGAATTTTAATTTCATATTGGAGTTATTTACTTCGAAATAGCATTTATTGGCGAAATTGAAATACAAGGAAGCTTAATTAAGCTATTAAGAAGCTAACGAAATATATTCATTATTAACTAGAGTTATTGAAGACTTGTAAAAGTTTTATTGTATCAGATCTATTTACAACAAATCTGTAAACGGCGTTAGTGAACCTTAATATTCCGGCATTTACATTGATTTTTATCCAATATAATTGATTTTTATCCAATATAAAATAAGCGTAAACTGTTCTTGACGAGATTAGAATGCATTCCACTGATGGCGTGGGATCTCCCTTTGTATATCGGTTCAGTATACATTATACAGGACCGCCCAGGAGGAGGATTACAATGTGTGTATTATGCTTTGAGGAATTCCAGGTGGGAGGAGGCTTATTCCCCTCTCCTGGGGGTGGGAAGAGCATTAGTCCTTCAACTACTAATGTAACCGAGACATATACCTGATGTTCATTGTTATTAGCATTTAGGATCAAATGTTTCTCGTGATTCTCGACAATGTTTTGTGTAAGCAGGTACTTAAAGTAATATTATATGTTAGCAGCGTAATATTGTGTATAAAGATGTACACGTGTACTACTAGAGCTGTGTAATTACCAAAGTAATTACCTAAGTGTAGTTACAGGATGAGAGCTACGCTCGTGGTGTCCCGTCTAACCAGCACTCTTTGTCAGATAACGTTTTGAAACTACTGACGGTTTTGGCCTCCACCACCTTCTTACTTAACTTGTTCCAACCGTCTACCACTGTGTGTGTGTGTGTGTGTGTGTGTGTGTGTGTGTGTGTGTGTGTGTGTGTGTGTGTGTGTGTGTATGTGTGTGTCAAATACATGTAATAGAAATAAGAGGGGAAAAAAAGGTTGAAGAATCAGAACATTTGACAACCGATAGATAGAAAGGCGGGGTCCAAGAGCTAACAGCTCTGCATAAATAGTAAATGAACACACACACACAGTGGGGGGGGGGGAGGGGCAAGAGCTCGTCTAACTGCTGCCCTATTTGCTGCGTAGTCCTTCCAAGGCACCAGCAGGGGTACAAGGCACCAGCAGGGTACAAGGGACCAGCAGGGTACAAGGCACCAGCAGGGGTACAAGGCACCAGCAGGGGTACAAGGCACCAGCAGCGTACAAGGCACCAGCAGGGTACAAGGCACCAGCAGGGTACAAGGGACCAGTAGGGTACAAGGCACCAGCAGGGTACAAGGCACCAGCAGGGGTACAAGGCACCAGCAGGGTACAAGGCACCAGCAGGGTACAAGGGACCAGCAGGGTACAAGGGACCAGCAGGGTACAAGGCACCAGCAGGGGTACAAGGCACCAGCAGGGTACAAGGCACCAGCAGGGTACAAGGCACCAGCAGGGTACAAGGCACCAGCAGGGTACAAGGCACCAGCAGGGTACAAGGCACCAGTAGGGTACAAGGCACCAGCAGGGTACAAGGCACCAGCAGGGTACAAGGCACCAGCAGGGTACAAGGCACCAGCAGGGTACAAGGGACCAGCAGGGTACAAGGGACCAGCAGGGTACAAGGCACCAGCAGGGTACAAGGCACCAGCAGGGTACAAGGCACCAGCAGGGTACAAGGGACCAGCAGGGTACAAGGGACCAGCAGGGTACAAGGCACCAGCAGGGGTACAAGGCACCAGCAGGGGTACAAGGCACCAGCAGGGTACAAGGCACCAGCAGGGTACAAGGCACCAGCAGGGTACAAGGCACCAGCAGGGTACAAGGCACCAGCAGGGTACAAGGGACCAGCAGGGTACAAGGGACCAGCAGGGTACAAGGCACCAGCAGGGGTACAAGGCACCAGCAGGGGTACAAGGCACCAGCAGGGTACAAGGCACCAGCAGGGTACAAGGCACCAGCAGGGTACAAGGCACCAGTAGGGTACAAGGCACCAGCAGGGTACAAGGCACCAGTAGGGTACAAGGCACCAGCAGGGTACAAGGCACCAGTAGGGTACAAGGCACCAGCAGGGTACAAGGCACCAGCAGGGTACAAGGGACCAGCAGGGTACAAGGGACCAGCAGGGTACAAGGCACCAGCAGGGGTACAAGGCACCAGCAGGGTACAAGGCACCAGCAGGGTACAAGGCACCAGCAGGGTACAAGGGACCAGCAGGGTACAAGGGACCAGCAGGGTACAAGGCACCAGCAGGGTACAAGGCACCAGCAGGGGTACAAGGCACCAGCAGGGTACAAGGTACCAGCAGGGTACAAGGCACCAGCAGGGGTACAAGGCACCAGCAGGGGTACAAGGCACCAGCAGGGGTACAAGGCACCAGCAGGGTACAAGGCACCAGTAGGGTACAAGGCACCAGCAGGGTACAAGGCACCAGCAGGGTACAAGGGAATAGCAGGGTACAAGGGACCAGCAGGGTACAAGGGACCAGCAGGGTACAAGGGACCAGCAGGGTACAAGGGACCAGCAGGGTACAAGGCACCAGCAGGGTACAAGGCACCAGCAGGGTACAAGGGACCAGCAGGGTACAAGGGACCAGCAGGGTACAAGGCACCAGCAGGGGTACAAGGCACCAGCAGGGTACAAGGCACCAGCAGGGTACAAGGCACCAGCAGGGTACAAGGCACCAGCAGGGTACAAGGCACCAGCAGGGTACAAGGCACCAGTAGGGTACAAGGCACCAGCAGGGTACAAGGCACCAGTAGGGTACAAGGCACCAGTAGGGTACAAGGCACCAGCAGGGTACAAGGCACCAGCAGGGTACAAGGGACCAGCAGGGTACAAGGGACCAGCAGGGTACAAGGCACCAGCAGGGGTACAAGGCACCAGCAGGGTACAAGGCACCAGCAGGGTACAAGGCACCAGCAGGGTACAAGGCACCAGCAGGGTACAAGGCACCAGCAGGGGTACAAGGCACCAGCAGGGGTACATTAAGGCACCAGCAGGGGTACAAGGCACCAGCAGGGTACAAGGGACCAGCAGGGTACAAGGCACCAGCAGGGTACAAGGCACCAGCAGGGTACAAGGGACCAGCAGGGTACAAGGC